AACCGTCTGTCTATAAGACAAACTATGGATAGCGGTTCGGATTGAGTAATCGGAGAGCAGAGTTCGAATTCCAAGCGAATTCCTTACGTGAATGTATTGGATTGGGGAAAGGCATGAATTCTCTTCTTCCCCCAGCTATGGGTAAAATAGCAGGACATACCGAGTTCTATAGCGTTGGATGACAACTGGTCTACCGCAGAAAGAAATGGCAACCTACTGCGGGAAAAATCTGCCTCGTCAGTCATGTATTGCCTAAGCGTGTATCACGCATGACACATTAACTGACTGATCTAATCCTCGCTCTGTGTCGGTTATATTGGTTAACTGATTTTAACAGATGTCATTAGTGTAAGTAATTTTTTTAAAAAATTTGATCTTTGCCAGCAACTCAGTTTCAGTAATATCATCATATTCTAAGGAAGGTCGGTTACCTATTTGTAATTTCTAATTATTTCGAGACATTTGGATATATTGTTTATGTACTGAAGAGGGTGGCATGCGGTTGTCGTTTCGGGAAATAGAATTTGTAATCCGAATTCTGATTCCAAATTAGACTATTTAGTTTTAATGCCTTTAGGAAAGGTATGATTACAGCAGTTCCAGTAGGTCAGTTCAGGGATTACTCCTTTCTGTCGGCCCCCAGCAATGCACACATATAAAGACAGTTTGGGGTCATTTATCCCTGTAAGGCAGTCAATCTAAGAGAAGGCCACATTAACAAAAACCCCTTGCTTTGTAATGACCTTGACGTTTTCACTAACAAAGAAAAGGCAACCTGCTTAAAGAATGACGCTGGAGTGCACTTTTAACAATCAGAGCAAGCAGGAAGAGGACAAACCACGTTGAACAAATCAACAACTAAATTCAAATAAATAAACCCAATAAATCCAGATATAACTTGATTGTAAAATCAAGTTTCTTTAAAAAATTTTAAAACTGACTTTTCTGTTCTTCATGCTTTTAAGTTAAATATTGCGAAGAAGTACAATGAATATATATTTATATAAGTTTAGTCTGGTACAAGACCAGTGATTATTGAATTCAATACATAAGCTCATCATCATTATACATTGATGCAATTAAAATGTCGATTATAAAATTTGTAGAGTTTCAATTAATTCCTTTCCTTTAAGAATTAACATAAACTTTCTCATTCAATAAGAAATCAAACAATTCAAAAACATGTCTTTCTTGTTCATACTGGTGGAATATTGGATTTCTTAAGCATTTGGTCTTGTCAATTACATTACGAAAGTATAAAGAAACCATTTTAATGTCACAGAGAGGTTGAGAACTATACAGATACCTGCCTTCAAAGATATTAAGCTTCAATCTAAATGTAAGACATTCAAAGTATTATAGGGACACCAGGCACGAGTTTCAGTTGAAATGCTTGATGAACTTGATCTTTTTAACGCAAAAATTACATTTATTGGTAACATTACACTGAAAGAAAATTTCCGTTTCATGCCTGTTAAGCAAAGAAATTTTGTTTTATGAAGCTTATTTGCATCTTTCTTAAAAAATTTGTAAAATTGTTTTTCAGTTGCTTTTTGAAAGAAAAGCACTTTTTGAAATGGCACATTTACAGTTTGATATTTTTTGAGCGGATAATAATTCTAAAATAGTGTCATCTCTTCTCATTTTATGCTGACCAAGCCTCGCCCTATTCTTCTGCTTTTTATGAATTTATGCTTGCATTTATTTAGCGGGAGTACTGAAGACAACATGTGTCATGTGATGAGAAAACAATACTTAAAGATTTGCACCCCCTTTTAAGGACACTTGTTCCTAAGCAGACAATTATTTTTTTCTTTTAGTAATAATTAGCGGCGATACTTTTCTTTTTCCAATTTTCATACTCACTATTTTTTAAGGGCAGGATTCTGTAAATTAATTATACATTGTATCATAACATTATTCCTTTTGAAGAAATCACATTTGAAAGGCAGAAGAAAATTTTACATTTCTTTTAGTAGATTGCATTTTACACGGTAAAGATTTTACAAGCTGTGAAGCCCTCATTAATAACATTCCACGCCTAGAAATAAAATAAATGATTTTTGCGTCACCCGTCTCCTTAGACTTATATCTTTTGTGAATATTCCCTAAGCTTGGCCTAATCTGACATAAGGCCAAGTGACGCCCTCTGTGAGGATCGAATTCACTACAGCAAAAATAGTTTGTTAATCATCCTTGTACAGTTGACGTCCTTAACATTTATTTACTAAGTCTTACCTAGACTGACAGAAGGCCACAATTTTGGAGGTCTTCGTAAAGATAAAATTCCCAGTGATAGTTGGGCGTAGAATTGTACTTATTATTATCCGTCCAGTCGGGACAACAGACAATGTTTTGATGAGATATTTTTTGTGTTCGAAAATTTCGTTTCTTTCATAGAATCGATATTTTTACATAGAATTAATACTTAAGTGAGTATATGACTGCCAGATTTGGGAACGACTTTTATATTAGATAACCATTTTATAATTTGCAGAAGACATAAACAAAATTTATGCCAGCTTTTTCATAACAATATCAAATTACAAACTGAAAAAACTGTGAGTATTGCTTTGAATGAAGTTTTCTGAATAATTAAAAGTGATTTTTAAAAAAATTAGCAAAACTGAAAGATAAATTTAAAACAAGTGTGTGCATCAGTTTCTAATAAAAATCAAATGTTAAAATGCAAATGAATTTACATCCATTCAAACGTCATTCGCAAAAATTCACCGGAAGTATTTCACATCTAATTACAGTAAACATGAAAGGGTAGTGATATTCAACACCGGGCAAGGATTTCATGGTTTTGTTGGAATATCACCAGTGGTCGGGTTATTTGGCATTTATTAAACTTTATCAACTAAAATGTGTGAAATGGTATCGTTAATGACAAGAAAACAATGAAAAAATACCGCATAGACACAGTATCATTGGCCGACATGACACGCAATCTGATTGGACGACATAACACATACTCTGATTGAATGACAAAGGTAATTATAATGACACTAATTTCCATCGATTTCATGAATGCAAGTATTTCTTTTTACTAGATATGTGGCACAGAATAAATTCTTTGGTCCACCGGGTTTTATGATGTCGACGATATTGTGATTCTTTTTGTGAACAATGTTGACCTTACCACTTCATATGAAATTGAAGTTAAAATGCAAGATATGATGTTTTGTTGGAAAAAAAAAAATTCTGATATAAAAATTAAAAAAAGTTACAAAGAAGTCATCTTTCTTTAGAAGTTCCTTCTGGGTTGCAACTGTTCGCAAGTCGATGTTAATTAATCTAAATTAATTAAGCCAAATGCTGGAAAGAATAAAAAAAATTGATGGCACCAATAAAATTGTTAGGTACTCAGTAATCATTTCGTGCCCTGAAAGATCGTTTCTTGCTCAAAGAGGAAAAATGTAAAACGTATTCAAACCACGTGAACGACGGTATTCACTTTTAAGATGAACAGAAATGTAATAATAATAATAGTAATAATAATATTAGGAATTGTTCAAACCCTGAATAGCTTATCAGAAGTATAGATGTTTATTATTTGATAATTTTCAGAAGATCACGAGATAATTGGTTTACAAAACAACTTTTGATTGAGAATGTTGATACATTTTAAAGCAAGAACGAATTTACCGAGTTATGACGCTCAGCAGCACCAATTTTGCTATGTCAGTGAAAACAACCACTCAAAATTTTAGCTATTGTTTTGGTAAATGTGATATTCTTCTTTACTTGCTAGTGCGATATTTTTTAATATAAATTAGGTACCAACATGAGATCGCTGGAAAATGAGCATAGCAGGAAAATAGCGGCCTTAAACTTGATGAAAACAAAATTTTATCGTCAAAATGTTTATGTTTATATTAAGAGGAAAGAACAAAGTAATTTTTAATTATTTTTCAAAATTTTTCTGTCTTTATTAGAGCATTCTAACTTTTGATTGAAAAACTTCGTTTGTCTTCATCAGCGAAAGTCCTACTAAATAACTGGCTGATTTTTTGTGCATTTTTTTAAAATGGCAGTCATTAATTTTGAAAATCTTGCAAAAATAAAAATAATTGTTGGATTTTAATGAAACTTTCAGAAACTATTCATAAATGATGGAAATTATTATAAATATGTTTATTTCTTTTTTAAAGTCATGGTAAAAAATTTTTTTTATATTTAGAACCCACCATAACTAATTTTATGAAAACTCTTGAAATTCATATTCATAATTGATTTTTTAAAAGAATTTTAAACGGAGACTTTCACTTTTGTAAACAAAAGTTAAAAAAATGGCTGACAATCGATTTTCTGTCAATTTTCCTGATAAAAAAAATACAAGATTTTTAACGAAAATTTTGGACATTATTAAAAAAATGTAAAAAAATATTCAAAAAATACTTTGATCTTTCCTCTTGATAATAACATAAATATTTAGACGATAAAAAATTATTTTCATCAAGTTTAAGGCCTTTTTTTATTCATGCTATGCTCATTTTCACATTTTCGGACCTAATATAAATAAATAGATGTTATATATACACGCAACAGCATTCTCACTTTAGGGATGAAATTTGACAAATTAAATATGTACGTTGTATATTTAGAAATTTGTTTCCAGTCTGTATATACTACATATTTACGCTGCACAAGTTATCTCGCTTTAATCCAGGGCTCAATTTTGCTCGCAAAAAAAAGAAAAAAAAAGAAGAATTTTGATGATTCATAACTTACATATTCTTAATTTATAAAACAAAAAAAATGCTTTGTAATGAAACATTGGGCGGGAAAATGTGATGATCAGGGGCGATAACATAATTTATAAAATGAATAAAATGAGAAAATTTATAAAATGAATTCGATAAGCGATTAAAGATACAGTAACTGTCATACAGTTGACTAATATTTGTATAACTGAAAGAATTACCGATTCGATATTCGATCATTTTATAATGATAATAATAATAATAATATCATTACAAATCAAGAAAGACCTGTCAAGAGAGAGAGAGAGAGAGAGGGAGGAGGGAGGGAGGGGAGGGAGGAGGGAGAGGGAGGGAGAGAGAGAGATGTGGCAAAAAAAAGAACTAAGAAAATTGAGGAATATGAAGTTGACGTTTGTATTCATTATGGCAGGATTGTTTGGAAGAATTTGAAAAAGGACAAAAGCCGAAGCAGAATTGAAACCATTCAGACAACAATGTTATTAAAATATATGCGTTTACGGTAGACAGTGCTGGAAAGTAGAGAAAACTTTGCTATGTGATTTTCAGGTACTATTACTACTACTACTACTGGGATCTCATAGAGTTAATTAGAAGAAAGAAAAAGGAAGAGAAAGAACTACTAAGTGGATTATAATTATTGAAATTCTCAGGAAAGTGGATTGAAAAGTTGAGAAGAAAATTAAAAACTAAATAAGTTAAAAATTACGTTTTAAAATGAATAGTTTCAAGGAGAATCGAAGCCAAATTTAACTAGACGGAATTCAGTAAGATTAAACAAAATCAAGTCCTTCTCCACTTTCCGTCGATAAGAAAGAGACAATGTATCATCGAAGATGTCTGGTGTGAAAAATAAAAAAACAAGCTGTTGGTAAAGAAAACAGGTGGTCTAAATTGTTCTGGACAAAGAACCAGGAAAAACACCTGGTTTGTGTTGGCATTCCAGAAAAAAAATATCCCTACAAAAATGAAGATTAGCGCCTAAGAATGAGGACGGGCTCGTTTATTTTAATTTCTGTGACATTCGTCAAAATTTTTATAGTCAACATTATTTTTTTTTTTTTGGAGACACGTTGATAAAAAAAGATTAATTACTAGCTTGGAGTGATCATAGGCAACAGGTTGTGTGGTCTGGTTGACCGAGAAATACATGAAGAGAGAAAGATAACTTTTATTACTAAAAAAATAGTGAGAATATTTTCTTCCTTTACTTTTCCACTCATAACGACCTTGGATGAACAAAACAATTCTAGTGATTGGCTGGCAGGTTGCCATCCGGATTGGCTCCGATTATATAGTGATGTCCTTGGTTTGGGGAAATCACCTAAAACAATCAGCGAAAGACAGACTGATAAAGAAAGATTAATTACTAGCAATTCCTTTTTCGTCTACGCATTCTAAAAGTTTACATTCGTCACAAAGACAGTTGTACCAGCTTTTGGAAATGGACTGAGGTTGGATGAAAAGGTGTGAGATGGGAGAGAGAGATTAGCACCGTCTTTATAGAACGATGGTGTGTATGAAAAATGAAGGAAGTTGGAGTTAAAGGGTGGCTTGATTCCTCTGACCACTGTCAAAAGGGGGCTGGGCAACCCCTAAATCTGGAATATTACTCGAGTAAACATATTTTGAATATATGGGACGCAGAACTCCTTATAAACTGGAGATTTGTAATCCCCACATTACTCCTAATGGAAAGCATGTCGTTCGCCGAGACATCGTGACCAATACCTTGTGCCAGCTCTGAAGACCAGAACATAGACATTTAAATTACTACTAACACAGGCTATAAACTACAAAGGGGATCCCAGTGTCATTTGATTATAGCAGAAGTGGGAAGGGTTAAAACCGCTGTATACAACAAATCATATATAAATCAAATCGTTGTTACATTTTTAACCCGAGTTAATTCTCTATTTCAAAGAATTCTTTTTTCTAGCTCCTCGCAATCGACCTGTTCTTCACTTCAGTTTACTTCATCAGCGATCTTCTCACTCTTTGAAATCAAAAACACAACGTGACAGGGGAGTGAATAAAAGTGAAGCAGATAAACGCCAGCGAGATCTAGTGTAACCGTGCTCATCATCACGATACTAGCGACAAACCAGCAACGCGTTAACGAGTGAGGAGTCAGCTAGATGGTAACCACGATGGTCTGAAGGAACCTGAAGACTAACGCGGTAAGAGAGTGGGTTACACTATTACTACAACTACCGACACCAATAATAATAATAATAGTCAATCATTACAAAGAAGCAACATGTTTGCAAGAACTTGAAAATGATTTGAGTGGCGTACATTAACAAGAAAATATTGAAATAAAGCTATAAAGTATGAGTGATAAGGCGAAAAAGACGCCAAAGTGGGAAGATTCAGGACCAGATGGAGTGCAAGGTGATTATTAGAAAAATATCATTTTCTTACATGAGAGGATAGCTGTTCAACAGAACAGGTACTTGGCAGATGGAATCGTCTCCATGGGTAACTACAGGTAGAACTGGGTTGTGTCTTAAGGATGTGAAGAAAGATGCAATATTGTCTAACTTTTGACCCATAACATGTTTATCACTCATGTAAAAACTATGGATCATGGCGGAGGAGGTTTATACACATTTGGATAGGCAGAAGCTGTTGACACCTGAGCGGAAAGCGTGTAGGAAAGGAAGTTGAGGGACCAGATATTGATTGATCAAATGGCGCCAAGAAATTGTAATAGAATTAGGTGTTGCTTGGGTCGATTATAGGAAAGTTTATGCTATTATACCGCACAGCTGGGTAATTAAGACCATGGAAATGTTTGACGTTTCAGAAAACAAGAAAGCATGAAACGGTGTGATACTGAATTGATGGCAGGGTAATATGAGCATCAAACGTGGGTATCTTCCAAGGAGACAGCGTGTCACCATTTCTATTAAACAAATATGTTATGGAATCTGGAGTAGTAAATTATTTTTTGAAGTGAATTTTATTCCGTTCCAATATGAATTAATTTTTTTTAATAGTCTGAAGTTAGATAAATATTGTTTATTATTATTAATTTTATTATAAAATTTATTTCAGCAACGTTCTAAGAATTTATCAGTGAATGCAAGAAGCAAAGGAAGCAATAATATTAAGAGAATAAACATTCACCTTCGTTGAGAGAACAGCAATTATAGCAAAAAATAAAACAAAAAAACCCCCAGACATTTGGGAAAACTTGGGTAATCAGAGTGAGTGTATTGGAAAGACTGGAAAAAGAAAAAAAATCAAGGGTTTTAAAATAGCAATTATTATATACCGATTATTTATAAGAATTATTTTTTTCAGGATGAAGTAAACATAATGAAGTGTTAAAAAAGCCTAATTTTCTTTATTAAGGGGGAAATATCTCTAGAAACTTGATGGATTATTTTAAAACAACGGAAGAGCATTAATACTCCACCCTCGTATATCTCATTTCATATCGCGTCTTAATTTATAAGAGACAATATTCCCAAATTACAAAATAAATTCAGGCGAATAATAGACGAGGCTCAGTCAGTGAAGTTTTAAATCTTCAAATGGAAAGACGCTTTACTTTGACTATTTGCTAACAACGCCCTCTTTGGTTGATTTTTAAAATTAAACGTCGTCTATTTACACATTATTTGCACGCGATTTTCCTACTTGATACTTTTGTTCACTTAGAAATAGTTCTGCTTTGAATAATGTAAAACAGCGAGTTCATTTTTTTTTATAAAGACTTCATTTTAAGGAACTGAAATAAAAAAAAAACGAAAAATACACCACATTTTCTGAGCAGTCGAACATGTTTTGGTTGATAGATATTTTGTTCACTTTCTCTGTCAATGTTCCTCAGTTTTGATCCAGTGGGCATGTGTTAGAGATATGCATGTTACTTACATTCAATAATCACCGGTGACCGGTAGAAAACCATTATTTCAAAGACGATGCCTTTTGGACGATGGATAATTTATTATTATTAGCATCGTACTTGCAATAACGATTTATTTTTTTATTTTTATAAATATTAGTATGATTAAAGATGGCTGCATATAAAATGAAAGAAACCCAATGAAATAGTTTCTTTTTTTTTGTTTACCGGCGATGTTGGTCTTCACACATCCGTTATCTTCTTGTGAGTTGTAATTGACAGAGGCATATTCAGGCTGTAACTATCGCTAACGGTAACATTATCGACGTTGATATCATCAAAAATATCCATGTCGACATCACTTATTGGTCCGGGTATGAAACAATCTTCATCGCTGGTCATTCCAGGTCGGTAGTTATCATATTCAGATTCGTATGCGACAGAAACAGAATCAATGTTAAGCATCGGGTCACTTTTCGACATTTCGCTGCTACTGGTGAATGAACACATACTAAGGTTATCAAATGCAACTGGTCTTTTTAAGCCTCCGTAATATGGCACCATCAGTGTGCGCTTAATTTTGGGACTGGCAGCAGCTGAAGAAGCATTCGACGAGACATAGTCTTCTCTGTCACTGGGGATGTAATCCAGGCTCCGGCAATATCTCGGGGGCATGCTCAGCACTTGTCGCCTCTTCACCTGGAACGGGTTTACTGATGAACGATTATTATTATTGTTATTATTTCCGTTTGCACTGGTGGGTACCACAGGACCACCGATACTATCATTGCTTCTACCAGCCACTGGGATAGAGCTTTCTCTTCTAATGCCTCTGTGCATATCTACACCACAGACTGATGGATGATTCGGTGGAGATTTATGGCGAGGTTGCCACGCAAATGACGTTTTAAGTTTGGGTTGGTTGTTTTGGGGCAATAAAAGATCTTGTTCACTAGCACTTTCCAAAGTTGAAGCGTCAGTATCCAGTTCATTATTCTTTGCATCCGTTGGGAAGCGTTGTCTCTGATGACCGGACTCCGGACGCCTACCTCTGTGTCGGCCACCACTATTTACTCCTTTCCCATTCATGTAACTTCTGTGTCTTTCGATTGCTCCCACGATTCGACCGTTAATAATACCAGCAGGTGGTTTTCCTGTCATACAAAGATCGTCTGAAGTTACTGTCGGAGTTTCGTTTTGTGTCAGGCTTCGATTAAAAACCTCATTCCCTTTCGCCAATTTTGGTATATTAGCAGCACATCTTTCAAAGACCCTGTCATTTTCGACATCGTTCGGTTCGACTTCATCATGGTCTCCGTCGTCTTCTGCGACTCTTTGAGTTAGGTCATCCAGAAGACGATTCAACTGCACATTTTCGCTGTGCAATCGAACTGGGAATCTCGGTGTTGAAAGCGGTGAGCAAGGACAGCTGCTCAGGCTTTCGGAAGATCTTGAATGGCTATCGGTTTTGTTTCGAAAAAGGGTGCGTTTCACTGGTTGTGTTTCAGGACAGGATAGTTGTCTTTTGTACGCTGGTTTTGTGCTTGACGGAGGTTTCAGTTCAATGGGCTGCAGAAGAACCACAGACGATTGCTGTGACGACACCGACTCGAGGTCGTCGTCGGATGTCGAAATAGAAGAAGTTTCCCTTTGTGCCCTAAGAAGGACTGGAGAGCAGACAGCAATAGTTCGTCCTTTCTTGTCATTTGCTGACGGCGATCGGATTCCTTGAATGATACTTTCTGACTTTCTTCTTCCTCTATCAAAAGCATGACCCGATTCGTCAGAATTCTCTCTGCTCGTTCGTATCTTTTCTGACGGTGAACGGTTTAGCGCCTGTTTAGTGTTGCTGAAAGGTGCTGGAAGAATTGACATGGTCTTCCCATCAATGCTAGCCAGTATGGCACATGTTGGAGATCTATTGGAGTGGACAGAGCAGCTTCTGGGCGAAGGTTTTCGGGAATCACATATGAATGGCTTCGGCTTTTGAATAAATGGCATTGAATCCATTGAGATCTGGCTAGCGCTCCTCTCTCGTTCTGGTAATGGAGGAGGCACATTTTGCTCAACAGGGTGCTTTCGATTTCCGTTCTCTGTGGCTTTACTATGTTTTGGAACAGGGGGTAGTCGGTCGTCAGTTTGTCTTGCTGGAAGAGGTGGTCGTTGTGATGGTTTCGAATTTAAAGGCTTCTTTTCCGGATCGTCCCCATCAACAACTTTCTCAAGTTCCTTAAGCATACTGTCCATAGCAGCTATCTCTTTCGAGAAGACCTGATTTGGCGAAGCAGGAGACAATGAAATCGCAGAAGACGCCTCTTTAATTTCGCGCTTTTCAGCTGGAAAGGTGGCTGATTGCTTGAGCGGTTTGTGTATAGCGGGTGCAACCCCAACGAACACTAGAGGTGTTGCTTGAAGTGGGCTATTCGGCGAAATGGGAGACAGAATTATTGCATTGTTTTCTATTTTGTTTGGGGAATTTCCCTGTTGGCTACCAGTGAAACTCTTTTCGCTGGCTGACGACGCATTCAGACTAAGTACGCTACGGTTCGGAGTCAAACGTTCTTCAGCGTTTAAACCGTTATCTCCGCTGTTACTTGTTTTTAGCTTGTCAAAAATTTCATTGTGCACTGTAGGACTAGTTGGCTTGTCCGCTGAGTTCCCTTGCATTTTTATATTTATGTAATGCACAGTTGGAAGTTCAGGTGACTCAACGCGTGCATAAGTTACATCTCCCGTAATGCAGTTCGTTAGTGACGAGCTGCTAAGCTTTCGCAGTGGATTTCGAATTGATGAATCGCGAGGGCTGTCTGTACTGTTCTTTCGCTTTTTGTTGAGACTGCTCGTTGGGGTACCGCTGGGAACGCGTATGGAGTCAATGCTCGCTTTGCGCTCAATGTTTATTGCTCCATAAATGGGAAGGGACTTGCTCTGTGACTTCTGTGACCCCTGACGTTCCAGTTCTTTACCTACGCTTGTGTTTTGCAACACAAGGGTGGCATTTTCTTTAAATTCTCCCGAAGGAGACCGAGATTGCTGTGGGCTTTCAATAGTGCTGATTGGACTGCGTTTAGCTGAAGATCCCTTTTTCCCAAGCAAAAAATAAGTTATCATGTCGCCTTTTCCTTTAACTGTTATTCGACCTCTACATTTAAAGTCGTACACATCCTGTAAAGCGGCATACACCTCTTCTGTGACCTAAAAAATAGATTCAATGTAAAAATATATTATTCTTATTTTTATTCTGCGAAATGTTTTTAAACAATTAAAAACTAACAAACAGCTATTATGGGAGTAGAAATAATATATATATATATATATATATATACAAAAAATAATCACACATAGAATCAATCAGTAATATTAATGGATTCTATGTGATTATTCTTTGTATATAAATTATATGCTGCCTAATGTTTTATGTTTATATATATATATATATATATATATATATATATATATCGTCTATACCAAATATATAACTTGTAAAATTTAAATATTGAATCAGAGTGTCAGTCATTTCGTTATATATATATATATATATATATATATATATATATATATATTAATGAGTATACGTAATATACAACGTCTATAGCACCACTTGGAATTTCATGAAAATCTGCAATCTTCAGGTGCTGAATACTTTCGGACTGTTATAATATTCGCATTCTTGTGGTGATGATTTAAAATTGTGTGTTAAGACTCGTTCATTTAATTATTGTTGCCTAAAATATTATAATTAATTATTTATAATTTATATCATTCAAATTCTTAAGTTCAAAGACGGAGAATTAAATAAAAATTAAAATCAAAAATTATTTTAAATGAAAAACATTGAAATTAAGTAAACACGATAAGTGTCAAGGGTGGATAACTCTTTTTTGTATAAAATACCATAGTTATAACATCTAAAGTCCTGTCTAATGGAATAAACTTAGTACTCTAGGGGTTGATATAATAATAGGTCGAGACTATATATTTAATGAGTTTGGAACCTAGTCTTATACTTACAAAGGTGAAATTACATATAAATTAATCGAGTACGGTTATAGGGGATTATATATATGTGCATAGATATGTGTTGTAACCTAGAGAGGGTTACTGAATAAGGAATAATCAAAACAGAGGTTGGAAATGAAATGGTATTCTTTATAACATCAACAAAATACAATACTCACTGGCGGCGTGAAGTAGGTAAACCACTGTTTGTGATGGACTACTTAGACACGATATTAACCTAACTTGCAATAGTGTCCAACGTATTTATAAGGATTCGGACATACACATTAGTGCTCATAGGATGGTATATAACAATATATAAAAAATGTTATTAATGATGGGTTCTATATATTACATATATTAATATTCATAAAATCTATTTTGAAATCTATTTTAATCGGGGTCAATGTGTTTGAGTAGATGTTTGGTTTTATGGATACATGTAGACAACAATTCTGTTCTCATGTTCAGCAAGTTAGGATTATTTAAGTGTTTTAATATAATAAGCTTCTCCAATAAACAATTTACATCTGTCTACTTTCAACTGTATAAATACAGTGCTCAATGTTATATAACAGATCTACTAAGTATATATTAGTGAATATACATAATATCCAATGTCGATAGCACGACTCGAAATTTCATGCAAATCCGCAATCTTCAGGTGCTGAATACATTCTGACCGTTATGAGATTCGCGTTCTTGTGATGGTGATTTAAATTGTGTTAAGATTGGTTATTTAATTATTAGCTTTCATGATTATCTCGCGGCTAATGGTTGGGTTCTTATAGTTGTTTTTTAATCGGCAGACATACTTTGAAAATGTTGTGAAGTTTTTGTATTTAATATTGTTCAGTGTCATTTTGTAGTAGCAAAAACGCGATTTCCAGCTGTTCTCGGTGGATCCACAGTAATATTTGATATCACCGTCTAAATTGATCCTAGTTTTGTATATTATGCCTTCAGTAATGCACTGGCCATTTAATGGGCAGGTTACGTTCTTACGGCAGTTGCATTGGTTTTTAGTAGGATTATTATTTATTGTTTTGTTTGTGCGCTTGCTTAATATATTATTGTTATGTTGGGATATGTAGTTATCGATGTTTTTTGTACAGCTATAGCTTACCTTAATATTATTTTTGTTAAAATTCTTTTTTAGTCTTGGAGAATGACCAAAATATTTGTGAATTAAATTTAGGAAAATTCTACCTACATTGGTTTTGATATCTGGCGGGCGGGTTGAACCATATTATGTTACATTTGCGTTGTTTTTTCTTTCTACATATTCTAAATTCACTTTATGGTTGCTGCGTTCTAGCGCTTTATTATATCTAGCTTTATTATCGTGAAATATTTCTTTGTTACTGGAGTTAGTCGATGACTTAAATTGTATAGATTTATGTATGTTGTCAAGGATCCTTGATAGTTGGATTTTCTGTTGATGTTGTATGAATTTATGGTTTAAACTTAAACTTGCCCAGGTCAAATGTAACGTCTAGGAATTTGATCACTTTAGCGTGATTAATGTTAATGTTTAGTTTATGGTCCTTAATTCTTCCTCTTTGAAATTAAGAATTTGAATGATATAAATTATAAATAATTAATTATAATATTTTAGGCAACAATAATTAAATAACCAATCTTAGCACAATTTAAATCTTCACCACGAGAACGCGAATCTCATAACGTTCAGAATGTATTCAGTACCTGAAGATTGCAGGATAACGTTGGATATTATATATATTCACTAATATATACTTAATAGCTCTGTTAGCACCGAGAACTGTATTTATAACACTTGGGTGATAAATATATACGTACGTGCAAATATATGCGCGTATATGTATATTTTATCACACTCACATATATATATATATATATATATATATATATATATATATATATATATATATCCAAACAAGTTTGAAATTTGCCTGGGTGCAAATTTATCGTATCTGAACTAGCGATCAAGACACTTTCCAGACATTTTCGTCTCAGTGGATAATTTTTTTAAAATCAAAATAGCATTCTCTATGTTAAAATTTCTAAAATATTATTTCAAAAAATTTTGAAACTCCCGCCGTCTCTCATTTCGTGCGCATGTGTAGACAACAAACCTCATGAAATCCTAACGGATGAATCGCGTCACAAATAAACTTTTCCAGTTTGTCATATTTTTCTAAATACTGTTTGTTGACAAATAAAATTATACAAAATTAAGTATCGTTATATATTAAAGAGAATTACATTTTAAAATCAATTTTTATTTAAGTACTCTCAGTGTATAATTACATGGAAATCTGGGAAAATCCTTTTAATTAGATCCGAAAGGTGCAATAATTAATAATTAAATTGTCTTTTTTTGACATGAACATAATTCTGAATATTTGATATTTGCAGTATTCAAATGACAACTGAAAACTTCAAGAATGACATTGAATATGGCCACGGCAATAGAACGTGAGTTAAATTTTTAGTCGAATATTTTAAATTTGCACATTGATATGTGCTGTGTCATAATTATTTGAATTACTTAATGAAATAGTGAAAATAATAATTTTATTATTCCTATTTTAACATCTTAATTGAACTACTTTACATAATAACAAGTCAGATTTTCACTCTATGCTCATTTCTAAACTACACGGATCGAAATTGAAGAATTATCTTTCGACAGTTGCGCCTAAATAAAAAATTAATAAAAATGGCTGACAAGGTTTCAACTAATAAAACGGGTACTACTTGAAATCTAAATAATCTATTTTAGTCGATTAATATACTCCCAAAATATTTTTTCATATCGATTTAAGGCATTTCCCATTCTTCTTTGAACTGTTCGGCCTAGTAATACCATCTTTGTTGTTTTATTTTGGATGATGTGGTCTTTGTCAAGTGTGATTAGAAATGATTTTTGTCCATGTTTAAAAATCTTGATACCGCCTTCATATGTCTGAATTCTTTGTATTCTGTATTATGTACATATTTGTGAATCGAGGAAGATCGGAGATAAACTTGTCCTAGAAACAACAACGTTGAGGATATTAGTCTGAATAATTTATAGAAGAACGGAAATATTTCTCGTCACCGCAGAATTTTAAACATTGGAATTTCCTTCTCGGGTGTATGAGTGCATAGTTTGTTTCCCGAAAGATTGCATAATGTCAATCATTTAGAATGAAGTAGCATGCTTATCCGGAAATTCGATGTTTACAAGCTTGTAGTCAAACATTAGCTATTACTTCTCTAAAAACGCATAAGTTAAATGAAAAATGAAAACAAACTACTGAACTGCATCTAATTATTGTTATGTTTTTAAGTGAAATCTTATTAAACAGATAAAATTAAATGTAAATTTATTAATTTTTGATTATTTCTTTTGTTTATTCGATTCTTCCTGCAGCTAGTAAGCAACAGAAATCAGAAATAAAGTATGTGCTTTCAGCGAGATTTGAACTAGCATCTCTCATCCTTGGAAAATCAAATTTAGTCGGAAGATAATTCTTTATTTTCAGTTCTGCTTATTTAATGATCGTAGAATATATAACAACATGAGTGTTGCAATAAAACTCAAGGAAAAGAAAAATACTAACCAAAGTTTAATAAATGGAATCGTTTCTAAGAAATTAGGACAACATAAGACTATTATGCCTTTTACTATTAAGAGAAATAAAGAACAGAAATAAAATGAAAGGTAAATAAATGAAAATTAATAATGATAATATTTCACCTAAGAATTTCGAATAACTTAAGATCATTACACTGTATTTGATACATTGAAAGATGCTTACAATGTAAACAGTTCATTTAATTTGTCTTTGTAAATATTCAGTAATAAAAGTATAAAAGGCAAACTCAAAGTAAATTAATTTTTGCATGTTAGAATACTGAATTTTTCTCCACTCCACAATCTAATATTATAAAAGACCTGGCTGTTCTGCTTTCTCACCTGTATATGGTCAGGGCGGCCCGTACTCTCCATTCGACTTGCAACATTTACTGTATTTCCCCAAATGTCATACTGGGGTTTCCTTGCTCCAATCACTCCAGCAACAACGGGACCCACGTTAACGCCTGGAAAATATTAGTAATGTATTAAAAGGTTACATCTATCTATCTATCTATCTATCTATCTATCTATCTATCTATCTATCTATCTCATTTTCATGTGTAACAGTACAAAACTAGATTCTATGTGAATTAATGTAAAACATGATAACAAATACAGCGTAAGCAAAGTTAAAATCTGCGTACAATTTCCTCTTTGGAGGGATTTTCAACGCAGACTTCTTATCTCTCAGTTGCATCTCTGTATTTGGGCAGAGTGCACTCAGGGGCTTCTATGTCAAAGGACAGAGGGGCAACTGTGAAAATTATGGTGAAGAGGTGCCCAGCCCTGGGGAACAGCTGCCCGAGTCCGTGCCCTCCCATTACACCAGAGGGAGGGATCGGTGCTCGCGCCGAGGCCAGCGCAACCGATGGTTGCGGGGGCTGAGGGCAATTTTTGACCTTGTACCGAGCGTACCCGCTCGGGTCCCCACCTAAAAAAGACCTTGTGTCACATCTCGTCCAAGTATGGGGAAAGGAGTTAACACAGCGTACTTTTTACATGTACCAATTACATTAAATATTTCAAGATACGAAAAGAAAACATTACAAATCTGTCATGGAAAGTTTTTGCATGAACATAGCCACTCATAGCTCGGATTTTATCAATAAGCATGTAAGTATGTATACGTAAATAACACTTAGAATACTTACCTATTTTCAGCATAAAGTTATTATAAGAATTTTCATTGATATTTTTGAGCTTTTCTTTCATACCCATGACAAATTCTATCAAAATAGTTAAGTAGAGTGTAACGGAAGCATCTGTATCCTGAAAAATATTAAAAGTTGATCAATATTATTAATTACCATGCAGCTAATTGAGAATATTTTCAAGTTAGAACTACCAAAACTATGTTTAATTGTCGTATTTCATGACTTGTATGACGCATTAAAGATGCTGCCACATTTCAGCAGAGAACATTCGAGAAATCAGATTATTTTTTGCACTAAAGGCATTATTGTCGTAAGGAATAACTTCATACATACAGATGTTTTGGTAAACTTGTTGATAAAATGTGAAATATGAATCAATTTTTATCAATGTATCTAATAGGAGAAAAATATTTACACTATTTACATTGTTCGGACTGTTGTCCTCAACTTTGTTGCCATATTCACTACATTTCGGCCGTTGTACGCTTCGGCCTTCTTCAGGTGATTGGAATTTCGAACTGAAACCTTTATTTCGTTCACCTGGGTAGATTGTTCTAGTCCCACGTGCCATGCCTCTTCCGGATGTCTCAGTTTAAAGTTCTTGTTAACCACTTCAGTAGCCAGGTATTAAACTCACAACTCTTTGGGTCAAGTCACTGGATCTAACCAAATCCACTGGGAAATGTGTTTTGAAGACGAAATAAAGAGTTCAGTTCGAAATTCCAATCACCTGAAGAAGGCCGGAGTGTACAACTACCGAAACGTCTTGAATATGGCAACAAAGATGAGGACAACAGTCCGAACAATGTAAATAATTACAATACCTCATCTTAGAAATATATGATCAAAAATGTTTATTCCTTGATATATATCTTTTGTAGTAACGTTTAAACATGCAGTATATATGTTATAAACTAATATATTTAGAATTACTGATATTGGACACATTCGGGTATCACGGAGTTGTGCCTCTTTTCGGTTGTTGTTTTTTCTCTATTAAATACTCGTTAATAAATGGTTAAATGGAACCAGTAAACTGTCCCCAACAAAGCCGTTATGAACCCACATGAATTATTATAAAATGTGTTATCGGAAACAGGAAAAAGATTTTTGCCAGTTCAAAAAAAAAAAAAAAATATATATAAAAAATACAACTGGCTGAGTCTCTCGACATTCTGATTTTGTCGGGATGGTCAGCATGGCACCATAGGTTCGAGAGACCTCGACTCGCATCCAAGTTGCTGGACCAGTTCAAATCAACGCCCTAATCTACTGTAGGTAGAGAAGCAAAAAATGTATATAAAACAATTACATTTTAAAAGAAAGAAGCTGAGACACGACACGGTATTAGCGAAGAAGATGATGACTACGAAAGATGAAAGATGAAGATGAAAGAAGATGATGACTACGACACGGTATTAGCGAAATATGAAGCTAACTTCATTTTGAAGAAGAACGTTACCCACAAAAAGGCTATGTTCCGTGCAAGAAAACAACACCCCGGAGAATCAATAACAAACTTACTGAATGCTGTGATTTCGCCGACCTGGATGAAATTTATTTTTGAACCAAAACAAAGATCTAGCGGAAGGTCTGTAGCTCATTCCAGACTTAGGACTTGACAAACGGCGTGAAGTTGCGAACAAGTCAGGGCACAATTTGAGGAAAGGCAAATAAAGAATGTGGACGAAATACGAACGAACCGCGTAAAGCTGGAAAACCAAAACCCCACTGAACATACGGCTGTATGTTCCGTGCGGTTGAAATCGTGCGGTAGGTGTGGCCAACAACCTGACAGGGAAAGAGAAAACCTGCAGAAGATGTAACCAAAAAAATCACTTCACTGAACGTTGATAAACACCATTCACGCAATAAAATGTGACAAGATGGAGGAATATTTTCTCAGATCACTCCCCATGGCTTGCAAAGCTACAAATTTGCGGCATACTCGTGAAATTTATAATAGATACTGGAGCGAGCATTACTGTTATAAGCCATAGACCACCTCTAAGACCAGCAGAAGGTACTTTTATGAGCCCAGATGGCATATTTATTATATGAGGGAAAATTTAAGATTCCCACAACACATAAAGGAAATTCCTATTCATTCGATGCATACGTGATTAACCGTAGAAAACCTACTATCGAGAGACGTTACCTATCAAATGGGAATGGTAATAAAGTTCGAAGAAGAAGTCTACCATCTACCAGCTCCGACAATATGGTGGTGATTTCAGGCGCGGATGATTATTCCAAAAGGAATTGTTTGAAACAATGTCGCTCAAAACGTGTAATAAATGTTGTTAGATAACTTTCTTTCTCTAAATGGATTTGGCGAAAACTTGTAGCATCTAGTTTAGAAAAGACGGTCACTCCGCTCAATTTTGATGCTATATCGTTTAGGTTGGGTAATATGCAGTTTCCGTTTGACCGCAATATTGAGTGTCTTCAAGACGACGTAGGTGGCCATTTTTTTTTTTTTTTTGCTTACTGAGACTATTAGCGCACACTAGTCTGTAGGTTGGGTGACTTTTCTATGATACCGTTTGACTTCTCACCGTTTAAGTTCAGCCCTTACCTTGAATAAAATTTGTAATGCTATTCGTCTAGCTTTAGTAACATCAGCAATCGCGAGCATCACAAAGAAAAATAGAAAAAAAGAATGGTTGATACATGAAATCTAACAACATGATGAAAAAGAGACAAAAACAATGCCTAGATACGGCACAGAATATAAAATTCTGCACAAAGAAATTAGGAACAAATGCAGGCAGGCTAAAGAGGAAAAACTCAACGCAAAATATGCAGAAATAGAAAGAATGCGTATCACAGATGATGCAGATATGTATAAAAATAAGAGAACAGGACAAAATCATGCTCTTCAGCAGGATTCATAAAATCCAAGGACAGAACGTTGAATATAAGAGAAAGAAAAATAAGTCAAACATGGAATGAATGCTTCGCAGTACTTTTCTACGATGAAAGAGAACACCCAGCAATATACAGAAACATCGAAAAACCGGAAATATTAAAATCTGAAGTGGAATCTGCACTGGCCAAATTGAACAGAAACAAAGCAGCAGGACCAGACGGAATTGCAATAGAGATTACTTCGGCATAGACAAGATTACAGACATAATAAATGAAATCTACAACAGTGGTGATATACCGGAAGATCTAAGTGGATATATTTTATAGTACTGACTAAGAAGCCAGGTACAGATTAATGTGAACTTCATCGCACAATCAGCCTAATGAGCCATATAACGAAGCTTATCTTACGAATTCTGATGCTGCAGAATCAAGCCGGAAATAGGACAAGAACAGTGCGGGTTCGTTGAAAACCCTGGAACAAGGAACGCGATATTTATGGTTAGAATGATATCAGAAAGCAAAACAAATGCAGAAGGATGTGTATCTGTATTTTATAGATTATGCAAAAGCATCACAAAGAACTACTTGGTAACCATAACATATTTGGGAAGGATATTAGAATAATCCAGATTCTATACTGGCAGTAAACCGCCTGCATATTGGATAGAAAATGACTTCAGTAGATATATTTAAATAGAAAGATGTGGAAGATAAGTATGTGTCTTCTCACAGCACTTTTTCAACCTATACGGTGAGGCGATCTGAGAGAATTAGAAATCCTACCAGTATTCATTATTGGTGGATACAAGATATGCTTATGACACTGTGTTGATAGCAGATACAGAAAGGAAACTACAATAACTCCTACAGAAGGTAGTGAAGGAAAACGAGAAGAAAGGACTAAACATCAACTACTAGAAGACGGAACGCATGGCTATTAGCTAAAGGAACAGCCTAACATCAAATTACAAATTGGAAATACCAAAATCAAAGAAGTACAATTTATATACATGACAAGTATTTTGAGAGGACGGAAAGTGTGACACTGAAATCAGAAGTCTCATTGGGATAGCCAAGGATGCATTCAAAAATCTAATCAAAGTATTAAGAAACAGAAACATTTCTTTAGAAACAAAGTTAAGGTACTGAACTGTTACATAATATCAGCCCCCCCCCTGTATGGACGTAGATGCTGAACAATCTCTTCACAGATGAAGAGGAGAATTAAGGCAGCAAAAATGTGGTTCTACAGGAGGAGGATGAGAATTCCATGGATCGAACATGTGAGCATAGACGAAGTTTTAGAGAAAATGGAAACAAAAATGAAACTTATCAGGAAGAGACAGTTGAAATTTCTAGGTCACGTAATGAGGAAGAAGGGCTTGGAAAATCTTATACACACAACACAGATTGAATGCAAGCGAGACAATAAAACAATGCATAACCGTGGGCTTGAAGTTTTAAAAAAGATAACAAAAGATAAAACTTATTAAGAGCTGCAAATGACAGGAAATTTTGGAGAGCCATGATTGCCTGCGCCCTGAAGGCACGTAGAAGATTCGTCTTGCTGTTGAAACGCAGTACGTATTGGCATTGTCTTTCAAATCAATTTTACTGTGTTTCCCTTCATGCAGCCTCAGTTTACAAGTCGGGTTTGGTAGTAGTTGAGAATGCGTTTAATTTGGAAACTTATAAAGTAACAAATAGAAATATAAATCTATTTAAAATAAAAATAATCGGAACATTAGTACAATTCAAGCTTAGATTTAAGGGTTTCGGTTAATATCCAATATTTTATTTTTTAAAACTATGATATTTTTTTGTTGATCGTCAAGATTTTTTAAACAAAACAATCTTCTTAATTAACTTTTACAAAAGTTACAAAAGTTAATTCTGAAATGCATTCTTTCAAATGGAATATTGTTTACGAGAAATGTAAGAAAAACTCTAATACATTTATTATTTTTTATCTCAAATAATAAATATTTTAAGGAAAAAGTTTTATATGATATTGTAAGAAATCAAATTTTCACTGTGAAAAATTTAGGAAGCAAACTTGTAATGATGATGATCATCACACACATACATACATACATACATACATACATGCATACATACCTACACAAATTCAAATTTCAATAACAATCATTCATTGGATAGAAATCAAATTGATATCTTATGCGACAATTTTTGAAATTTTCGAGTATAGTAGATTTTTGAGCATTGAAGAGAGAATCGGCTAAAAATCATAAGAAAGATTTCATGCACTGATTGGTCAGTATCGAAATTAGATTCTTTGCATGTGGAAAATGATTCTTCCCACTCAGCATGATCCAATGATCACCTATAAAAAACAAACATGAGTTTGTCTCTCTTTCTCTCTTTCTTCTCTTTTCTTGCTGCAAAATGTAGTCCCAGAGAAAGTTAAGAACATTGAAAACATACACGTACATACGAACATTGACTACGAACATTGGCAAAGAACAAATACGAACGTTTAAACACACATACACAAACGTTCACAAAACACATACAAAACACAATGTTAGTTGTCTATGTGCTTTTGTAAATGTTTTGCTATATATTTGTTTATATATATCGATTTGTTTGTTTGTCTTCCTTATCTTCAGTTGGACTTAATCCAAGTCCAACATTCTAATTGTATATTGGACCTTAAAACAGGAAATATAAAATAACGTGTTTTCTTTAAAATCCCACTGGTCCTCTACATAATGGTGACTTCCCGATGTAATATTTTCAACTCCTGCTAACAGACACAAGACGATATATATGTACAAACACATTTTTACACAGACCTTTCAAACGGCAGCCAGTCAACCCCCACCAAAAAAAAAACCCAGAGAAAACGTCTTTTCATATCCTAATACGCACGCTGTACACTTTTATAAAGCAACACAATTTGTGATGGTTTAATTACAAATTTTGATCTAAGTGCAAATCACAATTTTCTCGCGGCGACGTTTATCCAATTTCACCCGACAGATGAATTTTACGTGTAAAAACAATATGTCAGAAACAAGTGACAAAAGGCTGAATCTTTACTCGAGCTATAGAGAACCTTGTCAGTTTTTGTCCTGCCACTGACCGATATGATTGATAAATAAATAATTAAATAATAAATAAAACAAGCACTAAACTGGATTTATGTCCCTTGAATTAAGTAATGGAGTTACCTCCCATTATCAGTTGTTCTTTATTTCTCAACTTATTTAAAAAAAACTTTGCTTACTTACCATTAATGACATAATAAAAGTAACTTTTGTTTTCAAACTAAAAAAGAATAGGGCAGTAAATGTCTTCATTTTAATCCACCTTTGTACAGACAAATAGTTACGAGTGACAGTTTTTGTTGCTTTTACTTGGGCATGTAACATAGTTATGTGAGAAGAGCTTGTTCAAGTGTTTACCCATCCTGTTCTCTGTTAACAGTAGTGGTTTGCTAGTAAAGTGACCTTTTCTCAGTATATATACTTTCACAAGGCACTAAATTCGAACTTTATATTTCGTCAGAGTAATCGTTACACTTTTCAAACCCCCATCCTCATTAAGTCTGGCATTACGTACCTCAATCATGAGAGATGGCGTTAATCCAACTGCTCCCATGTAGATACTTCCAATGGTTTTTATTTTGTCGATCGCTCGGAAACGAGGCTCTGTAAGAAGCTGCAAATGACAAATGAAAAATACAAATAATACATCATTTAATAAATAATCTATATTGAAAAGTATTGTTTTATATTCATTTATTTTGTCAGATGCCGTATCAGCTCGGCTATATTTTTTAAAGGCACCTAACAGACAATTTAACGTTGTCGCTTAAACTTTGTCAATGAAGAGATTAGCGACAAAAGTATACCAAACTTCATTATTTTTCAAGATATTAGTTGACAATACGAATGTGAATCCATTAAAGAACCAATGATAAATTGCGGTAGTTGGTTTTTACATATGTGTATGGATACAGAAGGCACTTATCTTCCTTTGGTGGAGATAAGTCTTCGTGACGTCACTCCATACAATGACGAAAGCGGCAGTTATTTTTTTAGTTTGTGGACAGAAATCAAACGGTAAAGTTGTTTTTCTTTTAGCCTGGGTCAAAGGCTTGAGGCTAAATCTGTCCCCATCCCCACAGAGCATCAACATGGTGCCATTTCCCTTTTGGAGATAGATGAAATCGACCTATTTAAATATGGAGGCCTAAAATAGTATCTCCAAATTATATGTAAGACTTTTCCTTTATTTTTCATTATGTTCTCATTATTTATTATGCCTTCATTCAGTCAGTCATTTATGTGCCATGCGTGGTACATGCTTAGGCGATTACGTATTTTTCGATACATGACTGACGAGGTAGATTTTTTCCCGCAGTAGGTTGTCATTTCTTTCTGCAGTAGACAAGTTGCCATCCAAGGTTATAGAATCCGGTCTGTCCTGCAACCCATATCTGGGGTAGAAGAAGAGGATTCATACATTTCGCAAGTGAATGTAATGGATTCGACTGGAATTCAAATATATATGCTTGAAGATGAAACGGAACTAATGCTTTTAATTTAATTATATAATTAAATTGAAAGTTTTTAGCTTCAATTTTAAAACATGGTTATTAACGAATAACGAAGAAAAGTTTCAGATTAATTAACGATCCTACACTAGGGGGAAACATTGTTACAAAAGCTAGAATAACCAATCAAAAACGAAGTATAGAAAGATTCAAAAGCTTGACAACGAAATCCTGCTATAATAGCTATTCAGATCTTTAAAT